AATGATGACAGTCTGGCTCAGTGTCATAAGTTAGCTTTAGTGCCATTAGGATTGCAAACAGTTCAGTTTGCAATGTAGATGCCCAGTTGTTAATTCTTATGCCTAGTTCAACAAGTTTATTATTGTTCTTAACTAGGAAGGTGGCAACAAGAGCAGATGCAGCCCTGCCAGAAGACTCCTGTTTAAATTCATCTGTGTATATTACTTGTGATAACTTATTACTACCAGCTAGGTGAGAAATTTCTTCTTGAGCAGTTGCTTTAACTAGTGATTTAAAGAAGGGATTACTAGCAATGAGCTTCTTGGGAGGGACTTGCAGATATGTGATATTAAATGGACACATCTTCCATGGAGGGGTGAAATGCTCTTGTCTACAGTGATACAGTTCATGCAGAATATAAAATTTAATGCAATTGCACGTTTTCACAACCCATTTAGATCTGTGTGTATTTACTTCTAGACACTTAGTAAGGTTCATTGTGACAGTGTCTGGTTCATTTCGTAACATTCTAATACCGAGTACAGTGTTAATCTCAACAATCCTATCACTGATACTAGAAATACCTAGCTCCTTCCTCATATTAAGAACCTTTGTAGATTTGGGACAACCAAGAATAATTCTGAAAGCTTTATTTTGCATTAACTCCAAGGATCAGAGAGAACTTTCTCTAGCTAATATCAACATGGGAGCAGCATAATCAATTAAGGACCTAACAGGCTATGTACATCATTCTTACGATTCTCACAAAGGTAAGTATGTATTGTACACACAGTGTATTTTACTTTATTTTTTTTATGCCTAGCTGTATTGAACACTTAATAAATAATAGTGTAAATATGTTATCAGGCATTTTAGATGCATTTGATAATAAAAAGCAGCTGTTTCCATCCACTGGCAATATCTGATTATCATTTAGGGTCGCAAACTTCTTAGCCATATACAGTGGTCCCTCGTTGTTTGTAATTAATCCGTTCCTGGAGCCGTTACTATAAACGTAATTTATGATTTACGAATCAATTTTCCCCATAAGAAATAATGTAAATACAATTAATCCGTACATAAACTATACAATGGGAAATAATGAATGAAACATTAACAGCATAACACTTACCTTTATTGGAGATTCTTCTTAGTGTATGGGAGACTGGAGGAGGAGAGAGAGTGGATTGTTTATAGTTTGGAAGGGGAATCCCCTTCCATCAACACCTCAGGTACCATTTGCTTTTCTGGGGTTGCTTCTCTTCTCTGTTTCTTAATGCCACTAGGACCACCTTGAGAGTCACTGGAGTCCTGTCTCACAAAATAACTGTGGAGAGAGCTCTGTTTCTGGCATCTCTTTAACACTTCCCTAAAATGGCCCAAGACTTTGTCACTGTACATGTTGCCAACCTGGCTTGCAACAACCTTGTTAGGGTGATGTTTCTCCATAAAGCTTTCCATCTTACCCCACATAGTAAAAATCTCTTTAATTTCTGAAGAAGGCACCTTCTTCCATCTCTCTTCCTCCTCCTCTGCAGCAAGATTCTGAGCTGCGATGTGTTGCTCTTCCTGCTGAAGCTCTTGCAGCTCCTCAGTGGTGAGCTCTTCATTGTGGTCTTCCACCAATTCTTCCACATCCTCCAAACTCACATCCAACCCCATGGAACTCCCCAGTGCCACAATTGATTTTACAACAGACATAGGCTCATTAGAGTCAGTCCCAAATCCTTCAAAATCCCCCTTGTCGACACAATCTGGCCACAATTTTCTCCAGGCAGAGTTCAAAGTCCTGGTAGTCACTCCCTCCCAAGCCATACCTATAAGGGTTATGAGTGGAGGATGCTGAAGTGTTCTCTCCAAAATTCCCTTAGGGTCAAGTGATCACGTGTCTGTGGTCACAGTCAAGCACCTGTGAAACATTGCTTTTGTGTAGAGTTTTTTAAAGTTTGCAATAACCTGCTGGTCCATGGGTTGGAGGAGAGAAGTGGTATTCGGGGGCAAGAACTTTACTGTGATGAACCCAAACTCCTCGAAAATTAGGTCATCCAAGTTTGGAGGATGAGCAGGCGCATTGTCCATTACTAGCACACACTTGAGTTCCAATTTCTTTTCCAGGAGATACTCCTTCACACTAGGGCCAAACACTTCATTGAACCACTCGACGAAAATTTCCCTCGTGACCCATGCCTTACTATTAGATTTCCAAAACACACACAATTTACTCTTCATAACATTGTTTTTCCTGAACACTCTGGGATTTTCAGAATGGTACACTAGTAATGGCTTCACTTTGAAATCCCCACTAGCATTAGCACAGAACATTAGCGTCAGCCTGTCTTTCATAGGCTTATGTCCTGGCAATGGCTTTTCCTCTTGTGTAATGAAGGTCGTCTTTGGCATTTTCTTCCAAAAGAGGCCTGTTTTGTCACAATTGAACACTTATTCAGGTTTCAGTCCTTCAGCCTCTATGTACTCCTGGAATTCATGCACATTTTTCAGCCCGCCTTGTGGTCCGAACTGGCAGCTTCACCATGCCTTACCACACTGTGTATGCCAGTACGGTTCTTAAATCTCTCAAACCAGCCTCTGCTGGCCTTAAATCCACTCACTTCACCACTATTTGCAGGCAATTTCTTTACCAAATCTTCATGCAACTGCCTAGCCTTTTCACAAATAAACGAAGTCATAAGAGTATCTCCTGCTAATTGTTTCTCATTTATCCACACCAATAATAACTTCTCAACCTCTTCCAGTACTGGTGATCTCATTTTTGTCGGCATAGTTACTCCCTTTGCAACAACAGCATCCTTTATTTCATTTTTCTTGGCCACTATGGAACATAAGGTTGTGTAGGGTTTCTTATACATCCTGGACAGTTCGGCCACACTTGTACCACTTTCATATTGTTCAATGATGGTTTTCTTAAATTCAATCATATTTCTCACCTTCTTTACCACAGGCTTGGCACTAGCAGCTTTCTTTGGAGCCATGGTAGCTTATTTAATACTTGCAAGCACTAAAATAAATGGAATATTATGAAATATTTCGCTGGAGCACGCGAGGTGACCTTCGCTCACTGATAAACAATGCCAGACTGGCTGCCGCCCTGGCCCACGCCGTGCGTACGCATCCCGGACGAACTACGACTCGCAAGTCAACCCATGAAAAGTGAGTCCATGTTTATACGAAAATACCCCTATGATTGGCGAATTTTACGATTGCCGGGAACTACGAAAAGCGGGGGACCACTGTAAATGGAGTCCGCCTGTATTCCTCGGTAATCAATCAGAAGCTTAACCCTTTGACTGTCTCAGGTCCCTTTCTGAAACTGTCATTCTGTCGCAAAAATTTTGAAAAAAAAAAAAAAAAAAAAAATTCTTATGAAATGATAGAGAATCTTCCTGATTGTAATGACACCAAAAGTTTGAAATTTGGTTGAAAACCCATGGAATTACGCTCCCGCGAAGTTAGCGGTCTCGGCGACAAATACGTATCGGCGATTTCGCAGACTTTGAGCCCTGCTTTTAGCCAATTACATTGTTCCAGTTGACCAAACTCATAGCTATTTCTTTAGAACTCCATTTTATCTATCAGTTGAGTACAAAAAACTGCCCATTTATCAATTTGAACTACCCAATAAAGTGGTCAGAAATTGACAATTTGGCCAATTTCACGCAAAATGAAAGAGATGCCAATTTCAAAATAGGGTCCAGAATAAACAAAGTAGACATTCTTGGCACTAAAATAACATATCCTCTGTTTATTAGTCACATCTCTAGGCTCCTCTTATATTACTATTGCTTTCTATTTTGATTTTTTATTCATACAAAAAAATACAAAATTTACTGTTATGCAGACTACTGCACTATTGTAAAAATGGTATAAATAATATCAGTGCACTAGTGAAAGAATATTAGACTCCCCAGTTGATGTGTATTGGACGTGTGGTGTGATTTGCTTACTCCTGAACATTGGTGAAAATCGAACATTTCCGCTACTTTGAGCTCAGTTTCAAGGTTGTTTTCTTCGTGAAAGTAATGAAAATCATCTCTATTTCTGTAATATGTTTTCCATTTTATCACCTAAGACCATGAAAACGAGAATACAATGATAAATACTATACGAAAATACACCTCAAAGCCGGCGTTTTAATCTAAAAAAAAGGTCGTAGTTTTTTTTTCTCATTACGTACTGTGTGCTGCAGGATTTTTTTATGTGGTGCACACTGACCACACAGACCCATTCTCTCACATGTGGGCCTACCAGCTTTCTCTCGCTTGATTTAAAGCCACTAGAATTATTGAGTATATATACGTCAGAAACAGTGGCGCGTAAGACGTATTTATACAACGTAAACAGTCAAAGGGTTAACACAAAAATATAGCTAAATGTGGCAGTGGAGATGTCATGTCTGAGGGCAATGTGTGGTGTGAATATAATGCAGAGAATTCGTAGTTTGGAAGTTAGGAGGAGGTGTGGGATTACCAAAACTGTTGTCCAGAGGGCTGAGGAAGGGTTGTTGAGGTGGTTCGGACATGTAGAGAGAATGGAGCGAAACAGAATGACTTCAAGAGTGTATCAGTCTGTAGTGGAAGGAAGGCGGGGTAGGGGTCGGCCTAGGAAAGGTTGGAGGGAGGGGGTAAAGGAGGTTTTGTGTGCGAGGGGCTTGGACTTCCAGCAGGCATGCGTGAGCGTGTTTGATAGGAGTGAATGGAGACAAATGGTTTTTAATACTTGACGTGCTGTTGGAGTGTGAGCAAAGTAACATTTATGAAGGGATTCAGGGAAACCGGCAGGCCGGACTTGAGTCCTGGAGATGGGAAGTACAGTGCCTGCACTCTGAAGGAGGGGTGTTAATGTTGCAGTTTAAAAACTGTAGTGTAAAGCACCCTTCTGGTAAGACAGTGATGGAGTGAATGATGGTGAAAGTTTTTCTTTTTCGGCCACCCTGCCTTGGTGGGAATTGGCCAGTGTGATGATAATAAAAAATAGCTAAATGTATGCTATATATCAAACATACCTGTATTCTGTGATTTCTACTGTCTGCTATGTATATATTTCCATACGAATCACTGGTTATCCCTGCTGGATCTGAGAACTGCCCATGACCAAATCCATTTTCTCCAAACTTGTAGAGGAGCTTTCCATTTTTATAGTTGATTACATTAATGCAATTTAGACCTGTATGAATATGGTATACATTATTTTTCAAGCAAACTAGATATTTTGAATACTGAATGAGTAAAGATAGTTATCCTCATCCCTAGTATGTTCTAAAACATTTTTAGTAAATACTGTATAAGATTAAAAATCGGACATACAATAATTCAAAATCATCTTTAATACAGTGTGACCAATTTCCTGACAAAACATTCTAAAAACTTCAGGAAATAAAAATCTGCCCCATTTGGAGGAATCCTATTCTGTAAACAAAAACCTCTAACAAAAATATCTCATCAAAACAAAATTTATTTTAACCAAGGGAAGCACTAAACCTACAGGGGTCACATAGCACCTAGGGTGAATGGAAGACAATCAGGTTCACTCCAAGTAAGGGGAGGACAAGTCCAGTTCTTAGGATCAAGAGGCCATCACCACAGATTTAACATAGCTGATGTTTGGGTGGATTGCAGTTTTTTTTTTTTTTTTTTTTTTTAAGATTGCCTAAAGGCACTTGATACTGCAACCCACAAGAGGCTGGGCCAATAACTTGAGGTGCAGGAGGAAATCAAAGGGAACGTACTCCAATGGTTCAAAGAGTATCTTAGGGAAAGGAAGCAAAAGTGACCGTCAGAGAGAGATGTTGGAATAAAGAAGAGAGTAGCTTGGTGATTATATAAAAGTGATGAGGGAAAACAAAATCACGAGGACAAGGACAGATTCCAAATGGATCCACATACACTGCAAGATTCATCATTAAAGTAGTGGCTTGCATTCAGCCCCCAGGAAATTCAATGTAATTAAGATAAGATTAGGGAAGGAGCAAGAAGACAAGAAATAAGGTGTAGATGGGGTGGGAGGAAGAGAGGCTGATATTCAAAAATGAAGACCTAAGGGTGAGCATAGTGTTTGTTATACTGCCAGAAGATCACATCAGCCACATAACCACTGCAGCCAATATTCATCTGGTAATTCTAAAAGTAGACTTCAAATATCTCAACAGTCATTCCTGGCCCTTTGTACAACATATGTCAAGCCCATCTTAGAGTATGTATCACTAGTATGGAGTCCCCCACACCTAAAAAAAACATGTTAAGAAATTGGAGAAAGTACCTAAGTATGCAATGAGGCTTGTTCCAAAGCTAATAGGTATGAGCTACAAGGAGAGGCTAACAGAACTGCATCTAATGATGCTGGAGGACAGAAGAACTAGGGGAGACATAACATACAAAATACTCAGGAAAACTGATAGGGTTGACAGGGGCAGGCTGAAAGGCAAGAAACAGGTACTCAAGGACACAGCTGAATATTAAAGAGAAATGAGCCATAGGTATGTCTGAAGCACAGTACAGTATTTTTTCAGTCTCATATATGGAAGTGGAATAATCTTAAAATGGGAAGCAAACTCCATACACAGCTTTAAAACCAACTACAATAAGAGACACAAGGTAGGAAAGGAGCGAATCTGGAAAGTGGCGGAAAGTGGCAAGCTGAGAGGGGACATGAGCTAAGGCTTGTTAAGTACAATGAAAGCCACTATCATGCCAGGGCATTTCGGGCAGACCCCTGCAACCACAAATAAGAAGTTTAAAACACACACACACACACACACACACACACACACACACACACACACAAAAAAAAAAAAAACACAGACTAATTGTCTACTGACAAGTGCCTATGATAACTGATTAATAAACACTTAAGATTTGCAGTTGTACATTTAATGGAATTTTTAGAAAATTGCTATATTTTACCAAATGAACTTTTAAATCACTTACAGAACTCCAAATATTTGTACAATATACAGTATACTTACCTAAATCTACTACTAAGATTTCCTCTTTTTGATACCACATCAAAAAACGAGGTTTGCTGTTTTGCAACTCCAGAAATGAAAGACCCAGGTTGACTGCCATTTTTGCTACCACACTCCTTTTTTGTGGGCATATAGTCAAGACATTAATGGAGCCATGAGAATGAGCCTCAATGGTCAAGAGTTTTCCTTCATCATCTATACAAAGTCCTGCCAAAGAAAAAAAAACAGTATTAACAGACACTCAGCTGGAATAATTTCTTTTGGTATCTTATATATAAACCCTACTATTCTTTCCTCCGCAAACCAAAGTTACTGCATAAAGCACTTCACCAGTGGTACAATGCTAAAATCTCATCAAGGTATCAGAGGATTGCTACTGTGGGAGGTGAAGACCAAATGGTGGAGGAGTGGGGGCAGAAGCTGGAGGCTGGTGTTGGGATGTGGAGGATGCTGGGTGGTGGAGTATGAAAGCAACAAGGCAGTACGATGGTGGCCATGTGGGTGGCATTGTCGGTGGTCCAGTGTGGGTGGTGGGCGGGTGTGCTATTGTTGGTGTGGGCAGTAATGAGGGTGGTGAGTGGATTGGTGTGTGGGCCATTAAGGCATGGTAAGATGTGGGGCTGTGCAGGCTTGAAGCTGTGGGGAAGTTGTGTGGGTGAAGTGTGATTGTCGATGGCAAT